AAAAACAAAAGAAATGCTTTACCAATTACACAAAAAAATTAAATTTTTTATTTTTATTTTAAAAATAAACTTGCCAATTTTATCCCCTTCCAAACATCCTTACTTCAGTCTGATTATTTGGTACTGTGTACCAAGGACCACTTAAAGGGATTTGACAACCACTTCGGAGCATGTGTATATTGTCTTTAAATAAGTTTTTTAATAAAAACCTTTCCTATATATGACCTCTTCAATATTCCAACTTTTACTTACCAAACTAAAGTAAAAAATAGGATCTGATCAATAGATTCCATATGTACAGACATGCCATGCTTATATAATTCATTTGTGTGATTTCATTTTCTGTTTTTATTGTTGGTGGCATGTTGTTTGGTATTAACTGATGAGTGAGCAATATCGACACTAAGGTGGTCAAAACTAAGACATTACACTTAGTCAGTATAGTATTCAATATTATTAAACACTCTTAAACGTCAGTATTATTTTGTAGGGGCCTACAAAATCCTTGCTGTATAAAAGTCTCTTTTTTTATTGTGCAAACTCTAAATTTAATAAGGTTCTATTTAATTAGTCCAGAATTCAAATACACATTCATGCCAAATATTGCAACCACATGGGAGATAGGAAGAAAGATATTTGAAACACTTCCATAGGAACAACCTTGGGTTGCTCTCTTACAATATCAGTACAGGGACCCAAACTACTTCACATGCTATCCACAAAACAGATGAGGTATGAAAGAAATCTTGTGTTTAATGTGACCTTTGGCTGTACTTTTAGTTGTCATAATTATAAAGGAGCTACTCTCAGAGCCAACACATAAGCTATATTATTACTCTTACAACTATAGTAGTATTTCATAAAGTGCTTCACACTATGACAAACTCCAGGAAGAATATATGGAAACTCTTACTTTTGTTACTAAGCATAATAGCCCTTTTTGAACAAAAACAGTCCTGATATTATACATATGAGTAAGAATGCATGAAAATTTTCCTTTTTAATGTATATTCAAATGCAAATATGCCAGTGTGGTTACCTAGTTCAACTTAACAAATCATCTATAATCTAAATGCAAATTAACTAGAAATTTAAATTTAATAATCTAATTATGACTTTAATAATGTAATATGCCATGTTAGATAAATATGTGTCAAGGGGAAATTAAAAAGAAAACTACACATACACACACAAAAACAAAAAACCTTTAAGCAACTCTTTTCTAGATATTCTTATTTTCACACATAGAATTTCACCAAGGAGAAACAGTTGTTTCCAAAAATGTTCTGGCTAAACTGCCAACTTATCAATATATGCAACGTGTTGACATGATTTTATAAGGGGGGGAAAAACCCACTGGTTCATCTAACATAAAATTATAAATTATAAAGGTATAACAAATAGGATTAGTTTACAGCTCAATGTCAAATATGCCATCAATTATAATATTTACCAAAAACAAGCACAAAAAATTCTGTGTGATATGAAGAAAAGCTTCAGAATTATCTACTATATCATGATCAACTTTGTCGTACTCATCTCTTTCTTCCCAATAGTAATACCTCTATTTTCATCTTCAGAATAGGTTCCAAAACCTGTAAAACATCAATCATCCTTTATAAAAGTCATAGCCACAAACTGCCTTGATTGGCTAACAAAAACACATAAATAGTGGCCATAATCAAAGTGAGTTTCCTCATAAAATAATAATTTTTTAAAGCTATTGCATGTGAATTAAGATTCCTCTTAAATATATATCCCATAAGGCTATTAGAAATTATTCAATAGGAATTTGAGATATTACTAGGGTGACCATAGGTCCCAATTTTACTAAGAAGATCCCAGTTTATACCTATTGGCCCAGCATATTACAGTATACCCTTTAACTCTCAAAACTGTCCTGAATTGGATGGTAAATTACATGTTCATCCCAGCTATTACAGTACTTCATGTTACCTAAATCATGGGTTGTGAGGATTTTCTAAGTAACATTAATTATGTACTTGAAAACTCTAACTTAATTCACACAGTACCCTGCCATTCATTCAGATGCAGTTACTTTTAGCACTCATACAACATCACCCAAACTCTGTTGCTGTCCAACTCTAACCCAACTCTTTTCTGATATCCTTTGTATGTTTCAGACCCAGGATGGAAGCTTCCCTTTATCAGCAGGTAGCAAACAGGGTTGGAAAGATCCTTTTCTTTAGCCTCACACCAAATTCAACTTTTCCTTACTCTCAGAGGCTCCCCAAAAATCTTTTAAATAATTACATTTAAGTTTTAAAATTACAATTGGTTACTTTCTTGTCCTTGCAATGCACATATTTAAACACTTTAACTGTGTATTAAACACTATATTTGGAGTTCATTTAATAGTATGTTTGTGATCATTTTTATAGAAGTTTAGGCATCAGCCATGTAATCATTCTTTTTAACAAAATATATTTATCTAACCCTGATAATACCATTATTTGTATAAGAAAATCAGGTTTGACCCAACAGAGCCCTGTAAATGACTTGGGCTTAGAAGTCAAAATTGCTGATCTGAGTGTTAGACATGTACCAGGGGCACATATAATCTCCCTGCGACACAAATTCTGCAGCGTATAATTCTGGTCCGCTATTCAGGATTATAAGAAGAATCAAATCAGAAAATTCACGAAGTTCAAGTACTGCCTACTGTTTAGAAAAGATGACCAAGTGTTATACAAAGTGCAGATAGTTAGCAAGTTAAGCCTATCAGAGATAAATAACTAAAAAATAATGAAAAAGAACAACTCTGGGGAAAATCTACATTCACCGACTACACATCCCAAACTGTCATGGGCCAAGAGGCTCTTGGGAGCCAGACTAAATGAGTCCTGATCCAAGCACCATCACTTACTATCAGTAGTGTGGCAAGCATCTCTAAGTCTCTTGTTTCCTCTCGTAAAATGTACTTATCTCACTGTGAAGAGTAACAATCCGTTAAAAGATATGAGCACTGTGCTTGCACATAATAAGTGCTCAATAAGTGCTAGCTATTATTATAATAATCTCCATTAAAGTCTCTTTTCAAAAACAAGTCCTAAAAATTTATTTTGATGTCAGGAGAAAATTTCACATGTATGTGCATGCATGTGTGCACACATATGTGTATGTTCCAATGAGAGATCACTGAGATGACACAGGTAGTAGTCCACAAATACTTGTTAATAGTGTGGGCCGGGTATATTATCATGATAACTAATACAGATTTTATTCAACACTGGAGAAGAAGCTTTTTTCTTCTAAAGAAGTCCACACTGGCATACTGAAGCACAGTTTAAAATAAAATTCCATACCTAACAGTATCTGTGGTTGATCATCTCCAGAAAAGAAAAGTCACTGATAGGTACAATTACACACATTTTGAAATCCACGTACACAAATCAAATGAAACCACTTCTTTTATGGCAAATATATAAAGATACTAAAGCAATATTCTAATTAAACATTCATATATTCAATATTTCAAAATAAGAAATTTGGATATAAATATGCATAATTTACAATTCTACAATGAAACCTGTCTACAGAGGCCATTTTCACTATATTTCCACAGCATCCTAACAAGAAATGCACAAAGCTGCTTCTCTCTGAAATGTTAAAAACTGTAAAGTACACAGTAATTCACTGCAAACAAACACAAAAGACCACATTGTGCACCTGACACTTTTTTACTCAAACAACTATTTTAACCTATTCATCACATCCATTCAACAAGCAAGCCCAAATAACCACACCAGCCTACGAAATAGTCAGAAGACTCTATACCTTATTTGGTTAAAAACAGAAACTTTACATAAGAAAATTATAATCTAAAGCCTGAGAAACCATAGCTTGCATTTATAAAAACCCTTGTCCATTTTAGTTCATTAAAATAAAGTGGCATAAAACTTTCCATAAGAGATATGATATGAAATAAATATGTCACTATGACTGATATAAAAACCTATATAAACATCATGCTCTTTTCCAAATACACATATAATGGGGAATTAAAAAACAAAGGGAACATCAGTCAAATTTACATCTCAGGGACGCAAATCTAAGTTGGACTTCATTTCTCTGAACTTTCCTAAAAATATTCCAGTAGTAAAATAGATTTGCCACTGAAATAAAATAACTAGGACTCCAGTATTTATTTTAAAGCAAGTAAGAAATACAGACCTGTCCTTTAGAAACAAAAAGGGTAATGTGGACTGAGGTTTAGATGTTCAGTCGGTTGAGAGACAATAGCCTATATTATTCATTGGTAAGTGACTCTAGAACGCAACACATAGACATTCTATCACTGATAACTTGAAACAGGTAAATTTGGAGCTAAACAAAACGTAGCTAAAATTTTATCTCTACCCTAAATTACTTTTTAAAAAATCCATGGGCATTGCAATGAATATACTTTTGCCTTAGAGCTAATACTTTAATTTTAAAGAACCACAAAGAAAAAAATCAAAACTAGTCAGTAACAATGCAGCGTCTAAAAGCAATAAACTCAAAATTAAGTTATAAATAATTTAAAGCATGTCATGAAGATGTATTAATAATTCATCAGATAAATAATTTACTAAATAATCAAATAAATAAATAATGAAATACATAAATAAATCAGCAAATAAATAATTCTGCAAAATAACCTAAACAATAAGTCACCCAAACAAATCACAAACCTACAAAACTATAATGATTTTCCGAATTCTGATAGTTTTAAATAAGCAAATGTACGCAAACTAGATCCACCCGTGTTAGAATTAGAAATACTTTTCAATGCTACTGGTAAAATCCTCATCTCAATATATGAACACAGTTTCAATTTTTAAAAAACTACATAGGATTACTTCTTATAAATTAACATGATTATAATATATCTTCCTCTATATTTTACATATTATATCTTTGTCTAACACATTTCCTCCCAAACAACTGAACACTTAAAATATTCTTAACTTACACTTCTTTTTCTGAGCAATACTTACAGTATAATAGTGTCCAGCCTCTGATTGTTTTCCTATGAGAAAAGTCGTCTTCAGTCACAAAGTCTTCCTTCACCAAGTCTTTTTCTGCAGGGGTAGAACAGTAAGAATAGCCTTAATTATTACAGATGGCATTTCATTCACTAGGGAACGACGTTTTACAATTTTACAAAGTAGCAATGGGATGTGAACATTATTATTTGAAAACTATTGTCAAGTTTGTAGAAGTCTTTAACGGGCTAAGTACAAGCTGACAGAGGCCAAGCTTCCTCTATTGGAGCTGACACACAAGCTGTTAAAATTGGCGGGATTTCAGAAGTGAAGACAAAAACTTCAAAGGACAAAGTGAGTGGCTGACATCTAATGCTATCCTCAATTTGAGAAGCTCAAAGTCCTTGAAAGAACACATGAGATCACTTAACTGCTACAATTTGAATGTAGTGACAATATAATTAGAACACCACTAAGAGCCAAAACACAACTGACCTCATAAATCAGCCTTCACTGAACATTTATTTAAAGTTTTTAACCATCCACAGCATAGTACTCTGGAAATCCATAAACATTAGATCCCAAACTATGATTAGTTTCCCCACAGAAATATGAACTTTGTAATGAGTTTTTGACACATTTAAGAAAATAAATCCAAACAATATAGCTCATTTGAAAAGGAAACTAAAATTTATCAAAGTATTTTGTCTAATTTATCTCAATGAATTCTCAGAACAACCTTTCAAGTTAAGTAATATTTTACCTTTTCTACAGTCAAGGAAACTGAGACTCAGTAAGACTATGCATATTGCCTAAGATCCCCAGTGACAGGGAAGATTCTAACTTTGTCTATACCAATTCCTTGTAAAGGTTTGTTCAACTACAGAACCCTGATATTTGAGCCAAACCTAAAAAATACAGCAAATCCTAGAGCATCATAAATTGATTACAGCAATGGTCCTCAACTGGGAGCAATTTGCCCACCCCTAACCCCCAGCCCCACTGACATTTGGCAATGTCTGGAGACACTTTTGGTTGTCACAACTGGGGACTATTAACAGCACCTAGTAGATAGAGATCAAGGATGATGCTAAACATCCTCAATGCACAGGATAGCCCCCAACAACAAAGAATTATCTGGCCTAAAACATTAATAGTGCTGTGGGTGGAAAACCCTGGATTAGAATAAAATGACTGTTGTAGTGTATGAATTTCCTATTATAAAATAATATAGATTTGGTTTAGGAATACAGGGTTTTAAAAAAAAA